CACGAACAAGGGGACAGAGGTGGAAGCTGAGTACCCAAATGAGCCACAGGGACATTAGAAAGAACTTTTTCAGTGTCAGAGTAGTTAGTAAATGGAAAGAATTAGGAAGTAATGTGGTGGAGGCTGACTCCATACACAGTTTCAAATGTAGATATGACAGAGCCCAAAAGGCCTAGAAATCCGTACACCAGTAGATTGACGGTTGAGAGGCAGGACCAAAAAGCCGAAGCTCAAACCCCACATGGACAACTAGGCAGTACAACTAGGTAAATACATTGTCTGTAGTCGAGTGGATGAAAGTGTAATCGCTAAATAATGTTAATGATTAACATATACATGTAGTTTGAAACATATTAAAGATTGTTCCTTTTTATTTGCCTCGTAAACTATAGCAACTAACATGCAAAACAAGAAATTAACTGCAACAGTTTTATAGGAAATATCAGCATCGATTCAGGCCTCAGACTCAGAGTCTTGGGAGCAAGAGATAGCTGAGCTTATATAATTTCTTTCTCAGCAGGATGAGTGCTGATTCTTCAGGGAAATATAAGTAACTTAACTGCTTCCAGAGGATTAGCAGGAAGAAGGAAGTGGGCAACTTCCCCACAACCACACAGCGGCTGGGGAGTTGTGCCGCTCCTATTTTCTTATGAGCGGCTACTTGCAACGAGATAAGTTTTGTTGCATCAAAGTGGGCAAATAATTTACTGAAGTTTACGTCATTGGAAAGATTTAGTATATATTTGTAATTCTTATTTTCTTCATAATGCCAGTGGGCATGTATGGTCATGCATGGAAACAACATTTTCTAGACGTAGATTCCTGCACTTAAAACTAATGTTATGTATAAGCAGGACGTCAGTAACAACACTGTAAATGAATATTGTCTCCATACATCAGTGATGTTAAACATGAACCTCAGTGATGTATTAACAGATAAGTCAACCGTGCATAACAACAGACGATCGTCAGGCCAACAAGATACAAGTCAACTACAGACAGACATTAAAATCTACCTGACAATATTAGTCCTACACTCTACCTGCCCATGTTCAAAGCTATGACTTGAAAAAGGAATCGTTCACTTTAAACCTTTATAATAAACTTCCTATATCAACACCTACCTAGCCATTAACAAGATATGAAATGCATCAACACTCAACATATTTAAACTAACTTTTACTTAGGAAAAGACAGCAACTGTGTAGTGTTACATAATGTTCCAAAGGTTTGTCTGACAATTCTCCACAAGTCTGATATTTCCTCTCTTCTTCTAAGTCAAACTAAGGCAAATGCTGGGTAAGTGTATTTCTGTTCCAATGCTCCATTTCATCTAAATAAGTGGTTCATATTTGAGTGAAGCATTGTACCAACCCGCTGCTCCTGCGTTATGTTTACTGTTTATCTTCTGCATTGTTTTTTCACAAAATGTTTTCTTAACTATGCTGGACTCTGGGATATATATATATATATATATATATATATATATATATATATATATATATATATATATATATATATATATATATATATATATATGTCGTACCTAGTAGCCAGAACTCACTTCTCAGCCTACTATGCAAGGCCCGATTTGCCTAATAAGCTAAGTTTTCATGAATTAATTGTTTTTCGACTATCTAACCTACCTAACCTAACCTAACCTAACTTTTTCGGCTACCTAACCCAACCTAACCTATAAAGATAGGTTAGGTTAGGTTAGGTAGGGTTGGTTAGGTTCGGTCATATATCTACGTTAATTTTAACTCCAATAAAAAAAATTGACCTCATACATAATGAAATGGGTAGCTTTATCATTTCATAAGAAAAAAATTAGAGAAAATATATTAATTCAGGAAAACGTGGCTTATTAGGCAAATCGGGCCTTGAATAGTAGGCCAAAAAGTGAGTTCTGGCTACTAGGTACGACATATATATATATATATATATATATATATATATATATATATATATATATATATATATATATATATATATATATATATATATATATATATATATATATATATATATATATCTGTCTCTCAGGGAGGAGAGGAGCAGGGAGCAGCCTTAGGCCTCATTCTCAATGCATCCAAATGTGAAATAATCTCCCGCAACCCAGACATCACTGGGCAAATACAAAATGTTCTTCCAGACATTCTCGTTGTCGAACCACCGGACTGCACTCTCCTGGGTGCCCCCATTGGCCCACGAGCAATCGAGGAGGTCCTGGCTGCAAAAATCACTGATCTAAAGAGAATGCTGGACAGGATTGACAAGATTAATGCCCATGATGCTCTCTTTCTCCTTACAAGATGCCTGTCTCTCCCTAAGTTGACCTACTTTCTGAGATGTTCTCCATCCTACAGCAGCCCTAAGTTAAATGTGTATGACACCCTTCTGAGGTCCATGCTGGTGAAAGTCCTGAACCTGCCATTGGACGACTCTCAGTGGGAGCAAGCAACCCTTCCTGTAAGACTCGGCGGCCTTGGTGTCCGCACAGCCTCCCAAATTGCTCTACCAGCCTTCCTTTCCTCCTCTCATGCATCGCACGACCTCGTCAGAGATATTTTACCTGCAACCCTGAGAGATTCAGCAGGAATACACGATCCTGCTTTCACTGAATGTTCAAATCAGTGGGATGTTCTTGCAGCCCCAGTAACCATTATAGAGCCAACAAAACAACACAAACAGTCCGGCTGGGACCACCCTCTAGTGGAAAAAGTAGCTGATGCCTTGCTCACTGCCGCAACATCAGACAAGGAGAAAGCCCGCCTCAGAGCAGTGCGTGCCCCCCATGCAGGAGACTTCCTCCTGGCAGTACCCATGTCAGCAATGGGCACGCGCCTAGATCCAGAATCCCTTCGTGTAGCAGTGGCCCTCCGCCTTGGTGCCCCAATTCACACTGAATACAAGTGTATTTGCAACAGGGTGGAAGCAGACCAATACGGACTGCATGGGTTGCATTGCGGAAGCACAAAGGGCTGGCATGCAAGACACAACGAGGTCAATGACATCATCAAGAGAAGCCTCGTCTCAGCTGGGTGCCCAGCGGAGAGAGAACCTCGCATCCTAGGGGTCCAAAACCCGGATTTCCCCGCACTTCGCCCTGATGGCATCACCATATACTCATGGAAGGAGGGTAGACAGTTGGTGTGGGACTACACATGTGTATCCACCCTGGCTGACACCTATGTACACTTCGGAGCTGATCAAGCAGGTGGGGCGGCCAACCACAGGGAAACAGCAAAATCACTCAAGTACAGGCGACTGGAAGGTCAATACCTCTTTGTTCCCATAGCGTCTGAGACGCATGGCCCCTGGGGCAAGAGTGCCTTGGGATTTCTCAAGGAATTGGGTTCCAAGCTCATTGACGTCACCAGAGACCCAAGGGCTTCCAGTTTTTTGTTTCAGCGTCTCAGTGTGGCGATCCAGAGGGGAAATGCTTGCTGCGTCCTCGGTTCCTGTCCAGAAGCGGAGGAGCTTCAAGAGATCCATAACCTTTAGGCATTTGTCTTGTATGTTTTGTAACCTTTAAATACACAATAAAGGAAAAAAAAAAAAAAAGGGAAGGGGGTGGTAGGAGAAAAGCACACAGAAACTGTATTGGAGGGGACCTACATTCCCTCCAATGCGTTATGTGTGGTTTCCTCCGAGGCTATGGGTCCCCCTTCTTCCAGCCAGTTTTCAGATATATACATATATATATATATATATATATATATATATATATATATATATATATATATATATATATATATATATATATATATATATATATATATATATATATATATATATATATATATATATATATATATATATATATATATATATATATATATATATATATATATATATATATATATATATATATATATATATATATGAAAACTCACACCCCAGAAGTGACTCGAACCCATACTGCCAGGAACAACGCAACTGGTATCTACAGGACGCCTTAATCCGCTTGACCATCACGACCGGACAAAAGGAAGTGATAGCCGAAGCTATTTGAACCACTTCCCCGCCGGCACTCGGATGGTAATCTTGGGCATAGCATTTTATCAAATCACCTCATTCTTTGGGGCACACATGAGGAACACAAATGCGAACAAGCCTGAATGGTCCCCAGGACTATATGCGACTGAAAACTCACACCCCAGAAGTGACTCGAACCCATACTGCCAGGAGCAACGCAACTGGTATCTACAGGACGCCTTAATCCGCTTGACCATCACGACCGGACAAAAGGAAGTGATAGCCACGGGAGTATAGCCACGGCTGACACAGGGAGTATACCAACGGCTTACACAGGGAGTATAGCCAAGGCTGACACAGGGAGTATAGCCATCGCTGACACAGGGAGTATACCCACGGCTGACACAGGGAGTACAGCCACGGCTGACACAGGGAGTATATCTTCAGCTGACACAGGGAGTATAGCCACGGCTGACACTGGGAGTGTTACCAAGGCTGACACAGAGAATGTAGCCACGGCTGACACAGGGAGTATAGCCACTTTTGACATAGGGAGTATAGCCACAGCTGACACCGGGAGAATAGCCACGGTTGACACAGGGAGTACAGCCATGGCTGACACAAGAAGTATAGCCACGACTGACAGAGGGAGTATACTCACGGCTGACACATGGAACATAGCTGAGGCTAACACAGGGAGTATAGCCATGGCTGACACAGGGAGAATAGGCACGGCTGACATATGGAGTATAGTCACGGCTGACACAGGGAGTATAGTCACGGCTGACACAGGGAGTATAGTCACGGCTGACACAGGGAGTATAGTCACGGCTGACACAGGGAGTATAGTCACGGCTGACACAGGGAGTATAGTCACGGCTGACACAGGGAGTATAGCCATGGCAGACACAGGATATATAGTCACGGCTGACACAGGGAGTATAGTCATGGCTGACACAGGGAGTATAGTCATGGCTGACACAGGGAGGATAGTCACAGCTGACACAGGGAGTATAGTCATGGCTGACACAGGGAATATAGTCACGGCTGACACAGGGAGTATGGCCACAGCTGACACAGGGAATATAGTCACGGCTGACACAGGGAGTATGGCCACAGCTGACACAGGGAGTATAGCCACATGTGACATAGGGAGTATACCTCGGCTGACACGGAGCATAGCCACAGCTGACACAGGGAGTATAGTCATGGCTGACACAGGATATATAGTCACGGCTGACAAAGGGAGTATAGTAACGGCTGACACAGGGAGTATAGTAACAGCTGACACAGGGAGTATAGCAACGGCTGACACAGGGAGTATAGCAACGGCTGACACAGGGAGTATAGCAACGGCTGACACAGAGAATAAAGCAACGGCTGACACAGGGAGTATAGCAACGGCTGACACAGGGAGTATAGTAACGGCTGACACAGAGAATATAGTCACGGCTGACACAGGAAGTATAGCAACGGCTGACACAGGGAGTATAGTCACGGCTGACACAGGGAGTATAGCCACGGCAGACACTGGGAGTATACCAACTGCTAACTCAGGGAGTATAGCCACTTTTGAAACAGGGAGTATAGCCACTTCTGACACAGGGAGTATAGCCACTGCTGACACAGGGAGTATAGCCACTTCTGACACAGGGAGTAAAGCCACTGCTGACACAGGGAGTATAGCCACTGCTGACACAGGGAGTATAGCCACTTCTGACACAGGGATTATAGCCACGGCTGACAGAGGGAGTACACCCACGGCTGACACAGGAAGTATAGCTACGGCTGACAGAGGGAGTATACCCATGGATGACACAGGGAATATAGTCACGGCTGAAACAGGGAATATAGGCACGATTTACACAGGGAGTATACCCACGGCTGACACAGGGATCAGAGTCACGGCTGACACAGGGATCAGAGTCACGGCTGACACAGGAAGTATAGTCACGGCTGACACGGGGAGTATAGCTACGGCTGACACAGGGAGTATAGCCACTTCTGAAACAGGGAGTATAGCCACTTCTGAAGGAGGGAGTATTGCCACAGCAGACACAGGGAGTATAGTCACGGCTGACACCAGGAGTATACCCACGGCTGACACAGGGAGTATAGTCAAGGCTGACAATGGGAGTATACCAACTGCTGACTCAGGGATTATAGCCACGGCTGACACAGGGAATATAGTCACAGTTGACACAGGGAGTATACCCATGGCTGACACAGGGATCAGAGTCACGGCTGACACAGGGAGTATAGCCACGGCTGCCACGGGGAGTAAACCCACGACTGACACAGGGAATATAGTCACGGTTGACACAAGGAGCAGAGTCACGGCTGACTCTGGGAGTATAGACACGGCTGACTCTAGGAGTATAGCCACGGATGACATGGGGAGTATAGCCACGGCTGACATAGGGAGCATATTCACGGCTGCCACAGGGAGTATAGCCACGGCTGATACAGGGAGTATAGCCACTTCTGACACAGGGAGTATACCACGGCTGACACGGAGTATAGTCACAGCTGACACAGGAAGTATAGTCACGGCTGGCACTGGGAGTATAGCCACGGATGACACAGGGAGTATAGCCACGGCTGAATCTGGGAGTATAGCCACGGATGACACAGGGAGTATAGCCACTGTGGTCCTGGGTTCGATCCCAGGCGCCGGCGAGAAACAATGGGCAGAGTTTCTTTCACCCTATGCCCCTGTTATCTAGCAGTAAAATAGGTACCTGGGTGTTAGTCAGCTGTCACGGGCTGCTTCCTGGGGGTGGAGGCCTGGTCGAGGACCGGGCCGCGGGGACACTAAAAGCCCCGAAATCATCTCAAGATAACAGCTGGCACTGGGAGTATAGCCACGTCTGACTCAGGGAGTATAGTCACGGCTGACACAGGGAGTATACTCACGGCTGACACAGGGAATATGGTCACGGCTGACACAGGGAATATAGCCACAGTTGACACAGGGAGCAAAGTCACGGCTGACTCTGGGAGTATAGCCACGGCTGAAACTGGGAGTATAGCAAAGGCTGACTCAGGGAGTATAGTCACGGCTGACACAGGGAGTATACCCACGGCTGACAAAGGGAATATAGTCACGGCTGACTCTGGGAATATAGCCACGGCTGACACAGGAATATAGTCACGGCTGACACAAGGAGTATACCAACGGCTGACACAGGGAGTATAGTCACGGCTGATAATGGGAGTATACCAACTGCTGACTCAGGGATTATAGCCACGGCTGACACAGGGAATATAGTCACAGTTGACACAGGGAGTATACCCATGGCTGACACAGGGATCAGAGTCACGGCTGACACAGGGAGTATAGCCACGGCTGCCACGGGGAGTAAACCCACGACTGACACAGGGAATATAGTCACGGTTGACACAAGGAGCAGAGTCACGGCTGACTCTGGGAGTATAGACACGGCTGACTCTAGGAGTATAGCCACGGATGACATGGGGAGTATAGCCACGGCTGACATAGGGAGCATATTCACGGCTGCCATAGGGAGTATAGCCACGGCTGATACAGGGAGTATAGCCACTTCTGACACAGGGAGTATACCCACGGCTGACACGGAGTATAGTCACAGCTGACACAGGGAGTATAGTCACGGCTGGCACTGGGAGTATAGCCACGGATAACACAGGGAGTATAGCCACGGCTGAATCTGGGAGTATAGCCACGGATGACACAGGGAGTATAGCCACTGTGGTCCTGGGTTCGATCCCAGGCGCCGGCGAGAAACAATGGGCAGTGTTTCTTTCACCCTATGCTCCTGTTACCTAGCAGTAAAATAGGTACCTGGGTGTTAGTCAGCTGTCACAGGCTGCTTCCTGGGGGTGGAGGCCTGGTCGAGGACCGGGCCGCGGGGAAACTAAAAGCCCCGAAATCATCTCAAGATAACGGCTGGCACTGGGAGTATAGCCACGTCTGACTCAGGGAGTATAATCACGGCTGACACGGGGAGTATACTCACGGCTGACACAGGGAGTATACCCACGGCTGACACAGGGAATATAACCACGGTTGACACAAGGAGCAGAGTCACGGCTAACTCTGGGAGTATATCGACAGCTGACTCTGGGAGTATATCCATGGCTGACACAGGAAGTATGGTCACGGCTGACTCTGGGAGTATAGCCACGGCTGACACGGGGAGAATAGCCACGGCTTACAAAGGGAGTATAGCCATGGCTGATACAGGGAGTATAGCCACTTCTGACACAAGAAGTTTAGTTACTGCTGACACAGCGAGTATTGACTCGGCTGACACCGGAAGTATTGCTCCGGCTGACACTGGAAGTATAGTCACGGCTGTCTCAGGGAGTATAGTCACGGCTGACACGGGGAGTATAGTCACGGCTGACACAGGGAGTATATTCACGGCTGATACAGAGTTTAGCCACTTCTGACACAAGGAGTATAGCCACATTTGACACAGTGAGTATAGACACGGCTGACACAGGGAGTATAGCCACTTCTGACACAGGGAGTATAGCCACTTCTGACACTGGGAGTATAGCCACGGATGACACTGGGAGTATAGGCACGGCTGACACAGGGAGTATACCCATGGCTGACACAGTGAGTATAGCTACGGCTGACACAGGGAGTACAGTCTCGGCTGACACAGGGATTATTTCAACGGCTGACTGAGGGAGTATAATCACGGCTGACTCTGGGAGTACAGCCACGGGTGACACAGTGAATATAGCCACGGCTGACACAGGAGTATAGACACGGCTGACGCAGGGAATATAGCCACGGCTGACACAGGGATTATACCTACGGCTGACACAGGGAGTATAATCATGGCTGACACTGGGAGTATTGCCACGGCTAACACAGGGAGTATACCCACGGCTGACACAGGGAGCAGAGTCACGGCTGACTCTGGGAGTATAGCCACGGCTGACACAGTGAGTATAGCCACGGCTGACACAGGAGTATAGACACGGCTGACGCAGGGAATATAGCCACGGCTGACACAGGGATTATACCTACGGCTGAAACAGGGAGTATAATCATGGCTGACAAAGGGAGTATTGCCACGGCTGACACAGGGAGAAGAGTCACGGCTGACTTAGTAAGTATAGTCACGGTTGACTCAGAGAGGTTATAGTCACTGCTGACACTGAGAATATAGCCACGGCTGACACAGGGAGTATAGCCACGGCTGACACAGGGAGTATAGCCACGGCTGACACAGGGAGTATAGCCACGGCTGACACAGGGAGTATAGCCACGGCTGACACAGGGAGTATAGCCACGGCTGACACAGGGAGTATAGCCACGGCTGACACAGGGAGTATAGCCACGGCTGACACAGGGAGTATAGCCACTGCTGACACAGGGAGTATAGCCACGGCTGACACAGGTGTCGTGAAGGAAAGCTTACTCTCAATATATTGATATTTAATTGACTGACTTAAATGAATCGAAGGACCACCCTATTTTTACTTAAAAGGGAAACAGATAAATAAACAATAGAAAAGGACTGAAATACCAGTGCCTGTGGATAATGTCACTATTAAGAATTATTCCGTGAATATTAATGGACAGTAAATTAAATTACTATTCAAGAAGTAAACTTTCCCTTCTTCACAAATGGGGGGTTAATACCAGAAGTAGAGTACTCCCAGTACACTTTATCCAGGCTGGTTGTTCCTCGAACAAAATTAGTAACTGCTTTACTAAGGTATAAATAAAATAAACATTTGATAATTTGGTTAGTAGCAAGAATATATTGGACAATGAATATACGAAAAATTGTTCTCATATAAAATTCATGAGGCTATGAAATTATTCTTAAATCCTAAATCTCGCAAATGAAATATAATCTCAAATTATTATTAGGTTTCAACCGTTTATTAATAAATAATATCTAAATTAAAGTAATTTCAGCCGCTTAGCTGTAACAGTGAACAGAGATGTGGTGTCGAGATGGCGTCATCTGGGACTTGCTGGAACACGTGATCCACTAGCCTAGCGTGGGAAATTGTTGCAATTACGGCAGCTCCAACACATGCTGGAAACCCAATAGAGCGTAAAAATTGTCTATACAAATTAGATTATGCCATTACAGTTCAATGGAAGGGACAAATTAAATTTCATGCGGACGTACTTGGCGTTTGGGGAAGTATTACGACGTAACGATGGCCTAAGTGCACAGTACATATATAGTGAGCTCCTATAACAATACTAGAACACTTAACCTGCTGGTTGTCCACCGATGCAATCCATGGATCGCTAATGGAGTAGTTCCACACTCCAAGTCCGATTAGTAACAAGGGCCTATCGTGTAATTGACGAAGGACTCGCCTCTCCCTGGGCTAATGGCCGCCACGTTGTCTAAACGTCGTCCAACCGCATGGCTCGCTGGCGTCCGACTCCTCTCCTCTCTCAACCACTCTCTCGCGCATGCGCGACATATTAGTAGAAACGGAAAATTCTTTTCCTTGTAATTACTCTACATAATACGTCAATGAGAATAGAGTCGCAATTATAATGAGTTAAATATTGTTTCCATTCTCGCTAATTGCCAATAATTATGAACAGTGTTCTTATTGAACGAAAAATGGAGAGAAGTTCTGTTTCCTCCATTGACGGTTTAAGATAACAGATAAACTGTTATATAGTGATATGTTAGTTGATAACTCCTTGTTATTGAATCACTAGTTGTTATATTATCAGGTATTAATTCTTGTAAAGAATACTGATAAAGGTTTAGAATATTATTCAATTCTCTGCCATGTTGACAATAACTATGCCTTGCTGGATATTATCTGACGCAATACTGCGTCTCGATGTGGGGAGAATTTTAGTAAATGACGCGCAGATAGGAAAATATTAATTTATATTAGTACTACAGTTAGTAGGGGGTTAATAGATACTATGCTTAGTATACAATAGTGATGTATTATGATACAATAAGGATGTATCAGGGTTGGAACTTTCCAACAACAGGGAGTATAGCCACGGCTGACAAAGGAAGTGTAGCCACGGCTGAAACAGGGAGTATAGCCACGGCTGACACAAGGAGTATAGCCACTTCTGACACAGGGAGTATAGCCAATTCTGACACAAGGAGTATAGCCACTTCTGACACATGGAGTATAGCCAATTCTGACACAAGGAGTATACCCACGGCTGTTACAGGAAGAATAGTCACGGCTGACATAGGGAGTATAGTCACGGCTGACACAGGGAGTATAGCAACTTCTTACACAGGGAGTGTAGACACTTCTGACAGAGGGAGTATAGCCACGGCTGACACAGGGAGTATAGCCACGGCTGACACAGGGAGTATAGCCACGGCTGACACAGGGAGTATATCCACGGCTGACACAGGGAGTATAAACACGTGGAGAGAGAGAGAGCGAGAGAGACAGAAATTGATCACTGGGTATTGTAAGTTAAACTTTTTAATATAATATATAGAATTGCTTCAGGCGTTCTATGTAACATTTTTTGTGTATTTTATGGATTAAAACTGTTATGCAAATTTTTGGTGTGTTGAACATGATACAATATATATGTTTTAGATTCTCTGTATTTGTGCACAATATTCCAGCCATGTTTGGGTAGTTATGCATTGTTTAGAACAGTTTGGTCGTGTTTTCTGACAGTACGTAAAGGTTATTGTTACATTTTCTACAAAAAATAAATATGTTGCATTAATGTTTTCTATGTAGATATTGTAGTGTGCTATAAATAAGCATGTACCCAGGCCTATAAGATCGGTTTGACGGCAATACGGGTTGTAATTGAGAGCAGTTGCATGCCTTGCAGTGAAGACCCTCGTCTTTGTCCTATCATTTACTATAACACACTCGAAGAGCTTCCCTTTGTTTAAAACAAATTTCAGCCTTCTCTGACCCTCATATGAACTACTGTACTACATGAATATATATGCACTTGTGCTGTATCGTGCACACTACTAACACCCTGAGTAGGTGCATCACACTTCGTTTACAGAATAACGGAATGAAACAACATCATTCACTGACCCACAACACCATCCTGAGTGTCAGGACGACGTAACCAACATCACGATCATTACAGGTACCAGTGACCGTAGAAGGCTGTGCAGAAGATACAAGAATACAAGAATCAGAAGATACAACTGACGATTTACTATAAAACCAAGAAAACGGCATGAGAAACTCTCCAGACACAAAGCAGAACGCTTTAAAAGAGACCAACGTCATCTATGCCTTCAAATGCCCTCTTGGAGACTGTAAGCCTCTTAAAACTCAATATATAAACAAGACAACAACATCTCTTTCCAGGCGTATAACGATGCATAAGCAACAGGGCTCCATTAAGGAACATATAATCTCTTCCCACAACCAAACCATCACCAGAGAAATCTTAGCAAACAACACAGAAATCATCGATAGATACAGCGATAGCAGGCGGCTTGACATCTGAGAGGCACTACACATCAAGAAGTCAACACCAGCAATCAACAGCCAATTAATGCACAACTATATTCTACCCACTTCAAGACTCCGCTCCAATATAGAAGCATCAAGAAATATGAGCCAATAGGCCCTCTGCAATTACTTCCATTCTTACCTTCAATACCCATTATTTCGTGTTCTGGCTTGTGTTGAAAGTTTGTTTTCACCTCATCCAAAACTGTTGTAACATATCACCTCACCCTAATGCAGGTATAAAAAATCGAAGATGTTTAAGCTCTATTCAGTAATAGTTGTGTGTGCAAACTAAAGTCTTTGAAAATGTAATAAGTTTTACAAAACGCTCTCAAGTGTCGCGTCAGACTAGAAATAAAAATGAATTTTGGAGAATTGATTTTTCAATTACCATCAACAGTGAAAAGAAACATAAGAAAGATCGAGAAAATTCGTGTTAGAATTATTAATCTTACTCTTTCGGTCATATTTAATAATATATGTCTACAGGAAAGACTGCTATCAAAATATACTAATATATATATATATATATATATATATATATATATATATATATATATATATATATATATATATATATATATATATATATATATATATATATATATATATATATATATATATTGAAGCCCCAAGGCGTGAGATTATAGGATCAGTAGCACGATCCCCCGCTGTTTAACTGTAACCTCATATACAAGAGGTATATTTATAGTAAATGGTCAGTTGTATCTTCTGATTTTTGTCTGTAGGGATAACGTTCCTATTAACAATATCTTTCAGGACCCTTTCCTCCGTCATATGAGCTGTTTAAAAGAAGTTCTTCTAAAATAGTCTAATAGGAACGTTATCCCTACCGACAAAAATCAGAAGATACAATTGACCATTACTATAAAACCAAAAAAACGGCCAACCTTCTCATGAAAAACTCTCCAGACACAAAGCAGAATGCCTTAAAGGAGACCAACGTCGTCTAT